AGAATTGAAAAATGAAAGAAAGACAGAAAACAATGGGGGTGATTAAAAATCACAGGGGTAAATATAGTAGACAAATATTTAAGAACTGATATATTTTACCTTTGCACTGAGGTGGTTCTGTCCAGGTTCCATTCATGCACATCACTTCTACCTCTCCATAGAGTCTATAATGCTTGTTACATTCATAACGTACTTTCTCTTCTGGTGGATACTTCATCATCGGTTTTGAGATCATCTTACCATTTTCAACCTTAGGAGGATTCCCACAGGAAACATCTAGCAAGAAAGACAGAGAGAGAGAGAGACAGAGAGAGAAAAAAAACTGTCTACTTGTGTTCATTTTGAGTAGGAAATCAATAAACAAGTTTCTAATATATTTCAAAAGAGGTTTAAAATCAGTAGACAATTCATAGGAATGTTTGCTAATGTTAAGAAATAGACATGGAAGATTTAGGAAAGTTAAGTTTAAAATGCTGAAATATGTAAACTTTCACAGTCTTAAATCTCTTCTCTATCTTTTTTATAACATAGACTTTTCTTTCCCCTTGTAGCCTGTGAAAAGGAGAGTTGTCCTGCAAATTCATAGACTGAGTGAAACAAATACCATTTACTATGAACCCAATATGAATTTAGAAAGCGTCAAAATTGGAATAATTTAATTATGCAACACCAGATATTTATTTGAAATTATTTTGCTTATTAATAATCCTTTTAGCTCCTTAGAAATGTAATAGAATTATGCATTTCTTCAAAGGATATGTCAAAAATGAAGAGTACACTTTAAAGGGTATTGTAGTATAAAAAGACTGATTCAGTGAAATAATTCATATAGGAGTTGCAAAATAATAAGGAGGTAAAGAAAAAAAGACCTATTCAATTTGGAATCCAAGGCTATAAGCTATTATGGCTTTCACATCCACCTGAAACTCTCCAAAAAATGATGCACACGTATTATTACATTGCTAATCTTTCTCAAATATATAGTTCTTTATAGCAGTGGTTCTCAACCTTCCTAATGCCGCCACCTTTTAATACAGTTAATCATGTTGTGGTGACCCTCCCAACCATTAAATTATTTTCATTGCTACTTCATAACTGTCATTACGCTACTGTTATGAATTAGGTGACCCCTTTGCAAAGGTCGTTCGACCCCCAAAGGGGTTGCAACCCACAGGATAAGAACTAAAGCATATAGTATCCTTTTTGAATGGAGAATCTGTCCAAATTCATATTTACTTTAGTCAGTGAGTTTGTCGTAAATTTTTCCTAAACAGCTCAACTATTTAATGTCACAAATGAATAATAGAATAAGTATAGTGACAGAGTCCTGCATCTGATCTTCATGTAATATTTAAAGCAATAACCTGATGAACAAGTCAGTTTCTCTATTTTGTCCCCAAGAATTCTAGAAGGTCCTTTGCGGAAGGTCCAGTGCAATTTGCCTTGAGTTCACCCATAGAGAGTTGGGCTGCTCACTTTTCCAAAATCATGCATAAAATTAATTTTTTCCTTATAACTCATATACATATTGAAATTGGTCTCGGAGTGATAATAGCTTTCTTTGCTAGGAACTTAGACTTTTGTTAATTTATTTTTGGATCATATCTGTCAAAACATTGCAGTAATTGGCCTTATTTGTATCATTATTTACATATTCTGTTTCATGGAATATCCGGTGTAATGATGGCTACTGCAAGATAAAAACAAACATATTGAGAGTGCTCATTTTAAAACCTAATTAAAATTTTAATTTTAGTAATAAAAAAACGTTAAAAGAACAGAGAAAACACCAGTATATTGAGTCACAATCTGCTGTATATAATTTTAATGCAATCCCAATACAATTACCCCCATCTTTCTTCAAAGAAATGGAAACACAGATTACCAACTTCATATGGAGAGGGGAGAAGCCCAGAATTAGCAGAGAACTCCTCAAGCAGCATGACACAGTGGGAGGGCTTGCTCTACCTGACATTAACACATATTATACAGCCATAGTTGTCAAAACTTCATGGTATTGGTATAATGACAGATACTCAGAACAATGAAAAAGAACTGAAAACCCAGAAATAAAATGATCAGCATACAGACAACTGATCTTTGATAAGTTCCCCCCAAAATATCGAATGGGAAGCAGATGCCCTCTTCAACAAGTGGTGCTGGAAAAAAATGAATATCTAGCTGCAGAAAAATTAAGCAAGATCTTTATCTCACCCCATGCAAAGGAATAAACTCAAGGTGGATCACAGACCTTGAGGTAAACCCCCCAAATATTAGGGCCATCAGTGAGGGAATTGGGACCAACTTGAGAATTTTGGCAGAGGGAATACATAGGCTATCAGAAACAGGGAAGGACACAAATACAGAGGAGGCACAAATTGGCAAGTGGGATATCCTGAAGATAAAACACCTGTGTACCTCAAAAGAATTCACCAAGATGGTAATAAGAAAGTCCACGGACTGGGAAAACATCTTTAGCAATGACACCTCAGACAAAGACCTTATTACTAAAATCTACAATATTCTGCTAGCCTCCCAAAAGAAAAAAAAAAAAAGAATTGCCCACTGAGGAAGTGGGCAAAGGACCAGGACAGAAGTTTCACAGGGGAAGAAATCCAAATGGCCAACAAATATATGAGAAAATGTTCCTGATATTTAACCATAAGAGAAATGCAAATTAAAACAACAATGAGGTACCACCTAACACCCTCAAAGATAGCCCAATTCAAACAATCAGAAAGCAACAAGTGTTGGTGGGGTTGTGGGGAGACAGGAACTCTCATCCACTACTGGTGGAGCTGTAGGTATGTACAGACACTATGGATATCGATATGGCAATATCTAAAACAGATGGAAATCAAGCTACCATGTGACCCAGCAAATCCCTCTACTGGGCATATACCCAGAAGAAGCAAGAAACAAACCATGGCCAGTCCTCTGTGGTCCAATGTTCATTGCGGCACAGTTACAATTGCCAAGAGTTGGAAACCACCCAAATTTCCATCAACTGATGAGTGGATTAAAAAATTGAATTGCATACATACAGTGGTGTAGTACGCATTGGTAAAAAGCAGTGATGACTGTATGAAACACATCACCACATAGGAAGAACTGGAGGAAATTATGCTGAGCGAGGTAAGTCAAGCACATAGGCCAAGTACATCACGAGTCCGCTGAGGTTAGCTGGGAAAAAAAGCAAAAGCGGCATAGGGAAAAAGCTACTGTCTACATACATTCCTGGGGTGAGGACCAGATATTATGGCAGGGGCCAGACCAAATCCAGGGATACATACGGTAGTCAACCAAAAAGTAGGGGGGACAAGGAAAAAAGAAAGAAGTGGGTAAAGGGGGCACAAGGCACTAACCCACCCAAAGGGAGGGTATTGTTTATATCTCCACAGGGAAAGAGGGACCAGACTTCAACACAGTGCTCCAAGAATCAAGATGTGAATGCAACATGCCGGCATTGAGTAGGGGACCAGTGGAGTGGCTTGAGGGACCAGTCCCCAATCCCAACTACGTGGACACCTGTCCCTTCCTCCAGAAGAACTTATTTCAGAGGACAGCACTGAAGCCACAGCTCAAGGAGAGAGACATGTCTGATCAGAGCACACAGGAGCAAATGAAGGGCAAGGAACAGAGAGTGGAGCACATCCTGGCCCACCAAGCCTTGA